ACGGGGGGGACCCGGGCTTGGAGTTGAAGATCCTGGCCCTTGCCGACTCGGGCCAGGCCACCGACGACAAGGTTCTCCACATGATGGCGCGCTCGGAGAGGCTAAGGGTGTGGCAGAAAGAGACGGCCACGGACATGGAAGTCGACCTGGAGAAATGTGCGAGGGGCTTCGACGAGCTGCTTCGCGCGAAGAAGAGGGAGAGGGACCTTCAGATGGAGAAAGAGGAAGAGGAGGAGAAGGAGGCGGAGAAGACAACGATGCCGCAGCAGCAGGCAGACCCGACGACCGCAGGTACAGATACCTCCAAGGAACGCGTCTCCCCCCCCCCCGAAGGGAGAAAAGTGTTTGATTTATCCCAGGCACCTGAGTTGTCAATTGGTACATGTACAGGCACGTCAAGTGCATCCATCTCTCGAAAGTCGCCGTTTCCGGGTAGGGAGGTTTTCTAGATAGGGTATGGGAGTAGGTGATGTCGTCAAGAGCTCGTCGTGCCTTGACGTGCGCGTTGCCGCCGATCTCTCCAGTAGAACAACACCTACCTACCCTGTTCATGTTTCCATTCTCCAGCTGCCAAACATTGCTGCCATCGTGAGCTGCGCGGAGGGCCCCGACTTCTCAGATTCGCTGGCACACAGAGGTCCACGCTCCTCTCTACGATAGAGACCTTTCACACATTATCGCTAGATGGCGTGTTTCGGCGGGCTTTGTTTAGTGTTTGCCTCTTTTCCCGACGAAACTCGATCTTGAACAGCAGTCCACTCCAGCGACCCGAAGCAGGAACACGCCGGTCAAGATGCCTCCAGCACCAGCACCAGCACCAGCACCAGCGGTCGCGGCAAGACCAAGGCCAAGGCCAAGGCCGTTCCCGCCACTGTGACGAGATATTGGGGTGACGAGGCGAGGAGGTATTGGGGAGACGACGTGGCTCTGAAGGTCACCAACACCGGGGACGTGGTGAGTTGGGTGTACTGAGCAGGAAGACAATGCAACAGCGTTTGGTGGGAAGGTGCGATGGGTGATTGGGTGATCCCACAGGGTGATCCCATTGGTCTATCGTCAGAGGACAGCCGAAGCGTTTTTGTTTGGCCTCGAACTCTACTGTAGGTGTACGTCGGGCTTCACGGCCAGAAAGCACGTGGCACCGATTTGAACATGAAACACCAACACCATCTGCGTGCGTAGATTACTGCGGTTGATTTAGCGTGCGTAAGAGAAATGCCATTCTGTGTGTGTATCGTGATTCGTCGAAGGACGTTCTACCAACCCCATCACCTTTCTTACTGCCTGCATAGGTTCTATTCCGACACGAAGGCCCGGTGTTTGTCGTCTTGATTCACTTGGCAATATCTCGCCCTTTGCTTTACCTACCGTATCTTCCAAGCGTACTGCAGGCCCAAGTGTTCGGCAGGACATGAACTACAGTAAACATGGCCCACACTGCTGTTCATCGTCCGTGTGTGTTTTTCATTTTGCCTTTTGACCAAGTCCTCCTGGTTACCAGAAAACAACGCCCTCTTTCTGTTACGTCCGTGTAGTGCATTGTGCCTAGTCCATGCTTCATGACATGTTCTTTGATCATCGTGCTTACAGCTATCCTTTTTGCTCCATTGCATCGCTGCCTACTTGCCCAGCTGGTGACCGTCGGTGATCTCGTCGTCGTGCAGAAAAGAAACCCCATGTGGACCAAGAAGAAGGAGAGCTGGCTGCAGAGGAAGGTGGCCAAGTCAAAGCCGGTCAAGAAGATCAAGGACGTCTTCGGGCGTCTCGGCCGCCGCGGCAAGGGCAACGGCAAGACCGACAACAAGGCCAGAAGCGACGACGACGACGACAGCAAAGGCAATGGCGACGGTGCCCCCGTCAGCACCATGTACTCCCTCCACGTCGTCGAGAACGGGCTCGAGGTCCGACTCGAAGGCGTGTTCATGTGGGGGTGGTACGCCGAGTGAAGATACATCAGTCATTTCTTTTCGGGGCTGCATATTGCGTTCCGGCCGGCATTTCCCACGGGTTCCTAAGAACAATGATGGACATCTCGCTATGCTGGCGGGTTTCCCGGAGGGCGCAGGCTCATGTAATCGGGGGTTCTGGCAGACCATTACGCCTCCCCGATTCAGGCTGCTGGAGGGGTTTGGGATACGTGTCCCCTGACCCCCTGGGGGCAACCGCCTCTTCCACGGCGGTTGCCCCGAACCATCACACAACAGGTGTTTACTCAACACCGCCCTTGAAGCGAAAGATAAGATTGAGCCATGCCCTTGGCCTTTGCCCACCACGTGCGAATCCCTTACAAATCACCGTGACTGTGAGTGCTGGACCTGGTATTCTGATATCTAGTTTGTGAGGATGCTTTGTGACTGCTGTTGGGTATCGGGAACTTGCCTCCTAGAGCCGTGGCACTGCTTGGCTGATCCAAGGATATCGACTCCACAGACATTGGTCATTATGTCTGTACAAGTGAGACGGGCCTGTAGCCTGATTAATACGGAGATATTACCTTGTCTGTTACAATAGCTCCAACTTCGTCTACGTTTTCTCCTCCATCTTCTAATTTACTTTCTCTTTCAGAATACATCGATTTGTCTTAAGTGCGCCACAACAGTCGCTGGCACGAGGACACCGTGGGTTGTAGATAAGTGTAGATGATGATAGTGTTTCTTGCGCCTTTGTTTTTTTCAGTCTTTCAGTCCTATCCTCCTGTGATGTGTCCACAACTCTTGGTTCGTAGCTTGTTGCTCTTGGATGTTGCTTTGTGACACACCGTAAAAAAAAACTGCCCGATATGGGCGAGGGGGGAGGGGGGGGGGGGGCACGGTGCGTTTGCCCGCGATTGATTTTCTGAGGCTTTCTGATGAGACGATTGGTGTGTGCTTCCTCGCGGCGAGTCAAACCGGCTGGTTGTCTGTTTTTCTTTGCGAGCTTTGATTGGCGCGTGACGTGTCGTTGGCATGGCCGCGGGATGGCAAGTGATTTCGCGCCCGTGGGAGATGGCGTACTCTCGCACTTTTGGTGGTGTTTTTTATGCGGTGCCCTATTCATCATCTACAGTAGAGGGGAGCACTGACACTGTGCAGTCACAAGAGGTTTTTCTCTTGTTGGGTACGCCAACACTACTGGAGGATACAATGTAGTGTTGTTTTTTGTTATTCCCTTCATTTCTCCGTGTGTCTCGGAGCACTAGTCTACAACACATCTTTTTTGCTCTGGGTAGGTGTGGTTCAGCATCGTGGTGTGCTTCGGCGGGAACGCGTGAATGAAATTCGTTTGTGTCGTTGCGGAGGCGTACTGCTAATGTACCAGTTTCGGTGAGGAGGGGCACGTTATTATGACTTTCAAGCGTATGTATGATAGCTACAGGCGTCAGTTGTACGGTTTGGTATGCAGCAAGCAGGCTGCATTGGGCTCGCGAAGCGTGTGCTCTTGTGTAAGTAGCACTACCGGCCAGCTGGGGTCGGGTGTATCGGGGAGACTGGCGTACTGCTACGTGTACCAGAATCGGCGAGGAGGCGCACGTTATTATGACTTTCAAGCGTATGTAGCCACAAAATAGAGGGGCGTCAGTACTAACTAAAAGGTTGGGGCCAGCAGGCTCATATGCTTGGTTCGAGAAGCGTGCAGTAGTTACACTACCGTATACAGGGGATATATATATGATTTTTTGTTCTTTTGAAAGGACGTTCACAAGGTTGTCTATCGAGGTGAATCCACCGGGGAACATGTTATTAGCACAACAATAAACAGACACCCGTACTCGTATGTCGTCGGGTCATGACGCCAATCGTGCGAGGGGTCGGATGGGGTCAAGGAAAGACGAAATTATGCATTCGGGTCTCTCTCCGTACTGAACATGACACCCGGCCCCCCACGGTTGGTCTTCTCTTTGCCGTCCTGCCGAGAGGAAACAATCGTAACTACAATATCGATCTCATTGCCAGCAACGCAACAACTAACACCGTTTCGAGGTCAAAGGAGACCGAAAACGAAATTCCCTCGATCATCGACCCCAGCGCGAAGTGAATCCATCGGAAATACTTGTAGTACGAAACTTGGCTCCTTCCCTGAAGAAAGTCGTCTTCGACCACAAAAACAGTTCTCCCAGGAAAAGCCTTAAGCCTTGTTCCGGAAAGGAACAACAGCAGCAGCAGATCAGTGCGGCATACACACGTACGTCCGTTTTCGTTGGGGGGGGCGCCACCGCTTTCGCTGTTGTTGTGGCCGTCGCTCTTTGAGGGGGTGAGGGAGTGTACACGTAGTCAAAATGTGACTCGGCCAGAGGCGACCGTCATTTTACTGTGGACTCAAAAGCCCCCCGTACACGCATCAACCATAGTCTTGCTCCTTGGATCGCATGTAAATAGAAGGTCATCAAGCAGAAACGTCAGGTTCTCACCCTACTGTACACACGTACTACAATACTGTAGCATCAATTTCATTCCACGTTCCTTCTCTCCATCTTTTTATCCGGCAGCATCGATCGGTGAAAGCGATGATTTCCCTTGCAGTTCGTCTTGTACTGCTGTGACGTGTATGGCATTTCGAAGGTATTTTTCTCAGAACACCATGCATGCATGGTATATGAAACCGGGTGAAATATTGTCATCAATCTTAATCTTTCTCTCTTTCTGCGCCATCGAGCAATCAAAAACGCAATACAGCAGAGGAGCAATAAATTACACACGATAATAATCACCATTGTCCGAACAAACAAATACCACTTCAAGCTACAGTAGTACAGAAAACAAACCCTGATGTCAAGTGACACCTGGGGCACAATCTGGCGCTTCTTTTCACTCTTTACGCAGAGCTGCGAGAGCCGCCCAAACACACACCCCTAACCCACGGCGAACACGCCTGCCAGGGGAAGTCAGAAACAATGGCTGAGACACATGCTCACGTCTCCCTCCACGGTGCATATAGTCAAAACACTAGTCAAGGAAGGACAAAATGATGGCCAACACGGGGGGGGGAGCTCGCGGTTGACACCCGCGGCTCAACCTAAGACATTCTCGGACCCAATGCCGAAAAAATGCATACACCATGCACCATCTACTACTCCCTACACAGAGACAGCCTTTAAGGTACAACGAAACAAGGCACGAAAAAAACAAGGGAATGAAAAATCGTGAGGGTGCGTACTCGGCCCACTGCTGCAGACAAGACAGATAACAATCTCCGTGCGAAATCACGAACAACCAAGGCGTGGGAAACGTGAAAACAGAAAGATACACATACATCCAAACAGTAGCAAAAACACGAAATTGTCGGGCCTCGAGCAACAGAGGCATGGTTTGAGGCGTGGTGGTTCAACGAGCGGCGGCCAAGAAATCCATATGCATGCATGCATGCGTACCGCGCCACCAAGAGCACAACAACGAGCCGCACGTACTTATAGCGCTTAGAATCGCTCTCTGTTTTCAGCCGCGCTGAGACTGACGTATTTTCATTCGTCAGCCGGTTGGCGCGCGGCCGATGCTAAAAATAAAGACACGCAGACATGAACACGTCAATAGAGGGAGGGCCCCATTTCACATGTAATCACAACAGTCTAGATTTACCGTCACCCACGCCGTCACAGGAATCGCCGACTACAACCACAAAGGCACTTGCCACTTCCTGGTCGGCACACCAGACCAACGGCAGAGCTTCCACTGCTGTTGTGTGGCTAAGAACACCTTTTTCTTTCGGGGTTGCGGCACGCTCAGCAACTGATCGGCTCTCATTACATGCACTCGCACAACATACATACTGTGTCTCCCCCAAGCTGTAGACTAAGCCTCCAACCCGCGCGTATTGGTTCTCGCCTTGTTCGAACGTCGGGGAAAAGAAGGCAAATTTTCCGGTCTTGTTCCTGTGCGACCATGATGCCATGTTGTGTGCGAAAACCAAACACCGAGGGGCGTAGACCCGGCGCCCAGAACAAAAAAAAAGAGACAAGCACCCACAACAAAGACAAAAAAAGCCGCAAGAAAAAACCACAAAATCCACTGCTCTGCACCAACAAGAACAACCCACTCTTCCGTCCTCCACTCCTCAGCTCATCTCAAGCGAGCTACTACTAACATACGAGCAGCTTGGCTCATCAGCGTCCATACCCGGGGAGGCGGCTGGCGAGACCGTATTTCACCCTTGTCAACCGTCTCTCTACGCTCAAGACTTTATCCGCCGCTCCGTATCCACGCTCGAACTAAATCTGTCCTCTGATGAATTCCGTCCATGTCTCTCACATGCACGCCTCAACGTTTTTTCCAGGGGGCACACCATCTTCTGTCACCGTCAACAATGATGATAATGTAGCACCCGCTCGTCCCGCGCCCTCCCCCAAAATACTGATGGTGAAAAACCGTGTCGAGATGAGTTGCACGCAGACCAGTAGCGGTTATTTTGGGCCGGTTCCGCGAGTTCCATTTAATCATCGGGGAGTGTTTCGTGTGCACTCTATCCAGGTCACCCAAGCAACAGGGTGGCAAAAACAATTACAGGTATGCAACAAGGGGTCATAAAAAAACAACATAAAAACAGCTACAATCGTGTGCACTCTATCCAGGTCACCCAGGCAACAGGGTGACCAAAACAACTACAGGTAGAACATGCGTAAGGTACAACAAGGCAGAGTCCAGCTGCGCGTTAGTACTCTCACGCGGTTACACACACAAAACGCGCGCGCGGTGGGGGGGGGGGGCACACACACTTTCCGACGCACACGGAAAACGAAAAACTGCACGCCCTTCTGACCAAAAGCACAGTCATGAACCAAATCAAAACCAGCCTTGTATGGGTACTGCTAGAAGGTGACAAGATGTTGGTGCCATCACGAGGAAGCAAGATGAAAAAAGAAAAGGAAGGTCAAATCGCCGGGAAGCTATCGTAGCGTTTCACGTGGTCCAGCAGGGACTCCAAGCCAACGGCGTCGTACACCGCCTTCGCCTTCCTGAAACCGTCGCCGTACACGACCGAAGTGTCGGTCTTGATTTGGTGGACGAAGTACTGGCGGAGCTCCTCATTGGAGGGGGGGGCTCCGTGGCGGGGACCCCGTCGCCTGCGCTGCCGCACCTCCTCGTCGCCGGTGCCCCTGCCCCCGAGGTGCTCGAGCCACAGCAGGGAGACCAACTGGCAGATGCCTTCTTCTACCTGCGACCGTTCGTGGCAGCGTTGTTAATGCCTAGTGCTCGAGCAGCTTGTTCGGTGCCTTTCGCTGATGATGAGAGTAACGGGTTGTGGTTGGTTCTGTGTCGTGCCCGAAAAAATGTTCTTGCGCATGCGAATAGGGGGGCTGTCTGTGCTGTGACGCATGTCAGGGGAGCCGCAAAAAGTGGCCGGAAAAGGCATCATTAGGGAGTGCGTGTCTATGGTTTCAGGGAGCGTGGGCGATTGGAGGAAGCACACTAACAACGTGTTGTACCCGTACCCCACATGTGTTCGCTAGGGGGTGAAACGCTCAGCACCGCCCATGAAACGAAGGTACTGGGCATGTAGCCGAAGAGAAGTCAGAACATTCCTTAAAAATATATATGGACAACAACAGCAGCCGGCTTTGCCGTGTACGGACGACAAACAAGCGCCTCCCGTAACACCAAGCGCTTGACCAGCAGCCCGCCCGCCACAAGGGAGGACATACAAAAAACGCCTCCCCACAAAAACGAGAGGCGGTCCTAAAAAAGAGGGCTAATCGGTATCTATCTGTCCCAAGAGGCGAAAAAATATATATGCGCGTGTGCGTCACCCTCCTAAGCACGAACAACAAACACAAAACAGTTCCATGCACCCCCACCTGCGACGGTAGTCGAGACGAGAAGGAGGGGTCGAGCTTGAGGTAGGCGTGCGTGGCCTCGTGGGCCAGGATAGCGCTGAAGGACGCGTACGGGAGGCCGCACAGCACCAGGATGGCCGTCACGGCCCTTCGCTCGCCCAGATTAACCTATTTAAAAGAAACGAATGAATGGCATGAATGTATCAATGTATGAATGACTGAATTAATGAATGATACGGTATTAACCTGTAGCATGCATGCATGCATTCATTCCGTGCGCCGAGTGCGGCTTGGAAGACACCGCACGGGCGACGGACGAGTTAGGTGGCGGCAGAAATGCGCGTGTGTGTGCGTGTCTGTGAGATGGTTCGGTTCCAGCCTGTCTTGGTCGGTCGCTGCTCGCCGCGAGGCGGTATGAGACGAAACGTCGGTCGCGCCAACGTGAAAAGGGGGTACACGTTTCGGTGTTAAACGTCATCTGCAACCGCGGATAGATGTATTCTGGTGTGGGAATAACTTTTCTTCGGTGGTCAGGGCCGGCCTTTCGTCCCCATACGAAAGCTGAGTCATTCCGTACAGCTTGCCTGCGATTGTGGGAGGGTAGTGCACAGTCGGTGTTGGCAGATGGAGATGCGTGGGGCGGTTTGAGCAGCACCGCCAAGACACCAGTAACGTCAACGATTGAAATGAAGAGAGAAAAGGTGCACGCAGCAACCATTGAAAAGAAAGTTGTAATTTCGGAGTGCACTGCTGTGTCATTTTTACTCGGGAGCACAGCAGGAAAAAGTTGCAGAAGTGGTTTGGGGTATTTTATCTCTCCGCCCAAAACCGGATACGAATGGCTGTCGATTCTCCAGCGGTACACTTTAGTGGTGGGCGGCGATGGGGGGCAAAGATCGCGCAGCAAATCGGTGCGATGCGTTGGCTCACCTGGCTGCGAGGGCCGACGACGAAGCGGCCTTGCTTGGCGTCGAAATGCATCGCCCCGGGGGCCATGTGCATCACCGTTGCCACCTGGATGAAAAGGAATTCAAGCCAGAGGTGGGAGGCCAGGGTACAGTATGTAAAAAAATACACACACATACGCACACACACCCCATGCCGCCCCCTCACGGGGTCCCAGTTAACGGCAACTAGAAGTGTTTTCCGTTTTCAACCGCACCGAGACTGACGCCATTTCATCGGTCAGCCGAGTAGCGGGGTCGATACTAATAATGAACACATACACACACACACATACATCGGCTGGAAACACGACACGTGTCTGTCGCGTTTTGGTATTCCGCATGAGATGGCGAGCATTTGAACTTCAGACCGATCGCCGGAGAGCGAGCCAGGAACGTGCTTTCGCTTTCCCCCTTATAGCGAAGAGCACCGGCGAAGATGACCTTCGTCGAACGCAGTCCAGATCTAATGTATGTTGCACTACTTGTTACTACTTGTAGTTCCTGCGTTCTCCCCAGTAAACCAATCGCCGACGCCTACGCCTCCTCATGCGCAAGGTGCTTGACCGACAGCAACAGATGAAGGATATGAGGAAGGTTTCAGGCGAATTTTTTCCGAAAAACAAACACACGGCGCAACGATGGGCGAAAATCGCGGACGGCTCCTGTGAGGGACCTTGCACCGGCAGGTGACAAGGACACCCCCTGCCCTTCACCGCGCAAGGCACCTCATGCCCTTCGTAAGCATCGTGTGCGCGGTCGCAAAACAAAACCACGCCTGTGGTAGCGATACCCTCTCGTCTCCGTTGCCCACGGGGATGTATGATCTATATCGCGCGGATAAAAGTGCCAAAGATCTACTACACGTGAGAGCGTGCCTCCGTTTCGGCGCCTGGGCCGCGCGGGTGTCGGGAAGAAAAATGGGGGTTGTTGGACGAATCATGTGCCATATCTGAGTCCGAAACAGCAACGCGATAAAGCGACGAAATAACGACGACAACAACTACAGCAGCAGCAGCAGCAGCAGCAGCAGCAACAACAACAACTTCAGTCGGAAATTTGTTTTCTTTCTCACCGTTGGGACATGAAACAACACAACAGAATCAACACCATCAACATGGTCATGCACAACAACATGAGCTTAAGTAAATGTCATCATCAACAACGATAACAACCAGACTCGTACAAAGCACGATGGCGAAGCTAGGTAAACAAGAGAGACACCGACGGTTAGGATTTCGGATTCAAAAGCACCTCTGACAGAGTTAGCCCTCTCGTGGTAGGCATGCCCTTCTCTGAACCGGCGCCGTGCTTCTGGTCCAGATGCGTCTGTTCGTTCAGAGTGGGGGAGTCCTGCGAGAAAGAGAAGAGACCAAGATAGACAGACAGAGAGAGAGACAGAGAGAGAGAGAGGGAGAGAGAGACAGAGACAGACAGACAGACAGAAAGAGGGGGGGAGAGAAAGGGGAGAGAGGGAGGGAGGGAGGGAGGGAGAGGGAGCGCAAGAGCAGGAGGTCGAGAGTAGGGGGAGGAAAACCGGGTTAAGTTTCAAGACGTGGTCCCTTACCGTTGTTTCTGCTGTTGCTGCTGCTACTTCTGCTGCAGCAGCAGCCGCTGCTGCCGTTGGCGTTGTCGCCGTTCTTGTTGTTACGGTTTTGGTGCGTTGTTGTTACGGTTTTGGTGCGTTGTTGTACGCTACGCTCAACATGTGGTACGTGTTAAACAGCTCTGCCCGGTTACCACCCCCACGCCTCACCCGCGGTGCTGCTCATCAGTGCAGGCGGAAGGGGTAAGGAACCTTGGCCTTTCCTCCCCTTGACACAACAAAAGAAAAAGGTGCAGTCGTTGGGGCACACCGTGGTACAACAAAGGGAAAGCGAGAGAGCGCTGCATATTTTCACTTTTTCATTTCATCATCAACAACATTTAACACCGACCATTCCACAACGAACACGACGCCGGCGACACGACAGTTTCCAAAGGCAACAACTCACCACAACCAGGACCGGAGATCCCCGCATCTCGTTGGACACCGGCAAGTTCAGCACCTTCTCGAAGAACGTGCACACCTCCTGAAACGCCGGGGCCCCCTCGGAGGAGTCCACCACCGCCGTCTGAAAAACACATCACCGCAAGGGTATACACAAACCCGGGGGGGGGGGGGGGGGGGTGGTTCTTTTTTTTGGTTGGCGGAATTTTTTTACCCTTGGCCCCCCCCCCCTTTTAAAAAGGAACGGTTTTGGGGGGGGGGGGGGGGGGGCCCCCCCCAAGGTAATATTTTTTCCCCCCTGGGCCTTAAAAAGAAATTTTCCCATGGCCTGGGAAACCCAAAAAAAAGGGTGGGGCCTTTAAAAAGGCCCCCCAAGCCCCCCCAAAAGGGAAAAAAAAAAAATTTTTTT